TTTACCGAATTACTTAAAAACTTTAACAGATCAGTGGAATTCCCCTTTAAGCACATTGAAGAGAGGAGAAAAGATAAGAAAGAGACTGCATCACAATGAAGTTGTAACAAGGATAGTGTGGCAGAAATAGAGGTACAGATGAAGATCACGCTCCTCTCTCTAGGATTAGGTTATTAGGGTATTAAATCAATCAATATGTGTTTTAGCGTTATGCTTTAGATCCTTTCCTCCCTCTACCTAAAGAAGCACAGCTGTACAGAACGCATGTCTTGATCATTTTGTGTTAGTCTTAAAGCAGAATTCAACCAATTTATCCAAATTTCTGCATAACTTTTACATTAAAATGTAAACAAAGTAATTCAGAGTGGTTTGGTGTGAAGCGGTTTATTGTAGAGAACCTTACAGACTCAGATTTCCCTACAGTGGTGGTGATAGGATTGATATCTTCAATACAAACAGCCATTTTGTTTACCAAAACCACCAGTGAACCGACATCCTCTTTTGTGTCCTCTGAGTTTTTATTAGTAATGTTGATGGTGAAATAGTGGTAAATCTAATAATATATGTTTTCTTTGGAGATTATTTTGCCTCACAACGCCCTGTATGTACCATTCCACTATGAATGTATTAAAACCATGTTTTAAAGCGATGTCTCAGTCACTAGCTAGTGCAGGGTCAGCAACATGCGGCTGATTTACTGCCCTGTTGCGGCTAACGGCTAACGAAATGGCAAAGAGAAAGATTTAAGATGAACATTGATAATTTGGAGACAAATGGACTTTTTTGCATTATAAGCACTCTACAATGAGAAACTGTCAAAAACTAAAAATTTGTGAAGCTGAAGTCAGTTTTTTTTGTTCGCCAGCTTCTTGTGCGATATGTTCCGTTCCACCTTAAATGAGAGACATTTTACAAGAAACTATTCCATTTTTGCGGAAAAGTTTCCTGCCAGAGATGCGAGAAAAGCAGCTATAGCTGAACTAAAGCTTAAAGCAGAGCATAGTAAGTCTGTGTTTTTGTTTAAAATATATTTTTATCCTACAATAGTACATCAGCACATACTGAGACATATTTACAGCCAAGATGGTAAATGGACATAAAATGCTGCAGCTCCCAAGGTGGTTTGATTTTTGTTGAAAAGACAAAATGGCTCTACTTAACATTTGGGTTGCCGACCCCTGAGCTAGCGTGTTCATAAACATTTCGTGCAGTAACAGACGTCTGGTTCCCATCACCACCACTGTGAACAATTCTGACTCTGTAGGTTTTTCTAGAACAGAGCAGTTCAAAGCAAACCACTGTGAATGACTTTGTTTACATGTTACATCTTCATTATGTACAATGAAAAAACAGTGGGATTCCCCTTTAAATCCACTCATGCGGATGTCAAACATGAAACATATGAGAAAGTGGTAAAGATATATAGCTGGCAGTCTTTCTCTCACTGTGTTTTGTGCATTGTGAAACAGCACAATGTAGCAATAACTCACAAAGAACACAGACACAATACTAAAGGGGTGTAGATTGTCTCCTGTAATCATAGATGAGTCTTTTAATGTGGGATATTTTGCTTAAGAATATATTTCTTACACCTAGAAATAACAGTACTTTGGCTTTTGTGTCTCTGTGAGGTTTCTTGTTATGTTCCCTGAGAAGGACACTGTGTTGTGAGATAAGGACTTGTTTATGCCCGTCTCCAGTCTGTCCTACCAGACATGGCGGCCGTCTATGTTACAGCACTTGTATTGATATACATCATTGTATAACTGGGTGAAATGTGACCACTCAGGAACCTTCAAGGCCTCTGGCCTGACTGAATCTCTCCAGTGACACTGAGTTCAGTTTTGTTTCTGAACCAATCCAAGCTCGCATTATATTAGTTTTGATCTGTAACAATGAATCAGCAATTGTTTATTTACTTTGTGTATTTTACATATAATTTGCATAAAGCTAGAACTGCTTTGATGAAGTCTCTGTTAAATGAGGAAGATGCATGCAGGTGTTCTCCTGCTGATTCCTTTCTTTAAGTTAAGCGGTGTAATATCCGCCCTCGACACCAGAGGTCAGCCTCACCCTAGCTTTAACCTGTTTCCCAGTAAAGCTTTGATTTAATTCACCTGCAGCTCATCTACCTCCCTTCATAAGGGCCCACACCACAATATGCTCTCTGTGAAGTGTTGCCATTTCACCTGCTTACTGAGCCCTGTACCTCTATGTTTCCTGGACTTTTGGTTCACTCAACATTTTACATTTGGACTGTTTTGGTATGTTTGCTGGGTTTTGTAAGCTATCTTGGATTTTTGAATATGTATGGACTGTTTCTGAGTCTAATTCTGGTTTTGTGATTTTTGATACTGTGTTTTATGAGTAAACGGGAAAATGGATTCAAACACGTCTGGAGATCCTTAATTACATAAGCCTCATTAGTGTGTTTGTGTGAACATGTTGACCAGTTGAGGTTATTTTTCTCTATCATCTAATCTTTATATGATGCTTCCTTTTTCATGTTCCTGTAATCCTGAAGATATTTTTCTGATAAAATTTTTTAATCTATTTCACTTTTACAAGTCAGTGTTTGGTCTTCTCTTTGGGGTGTATGAGTTTTTAAATACATTTCTGCATTCTTATTTCATGGTGTGGTAATGAGTACTGTTGGGTAATTTATGTTTCCAATCCCTTTGACTGTTTTGTCTCTCTTGAATTTGTCTTATGTGTCTCTACATTCAGGACCAGAGGTGCAGTAAGAAAAGCACATTTAGTAGCTAAATAAAAACCAAACATGAAATTCTGCTACTATGGAACAACCAGTGGTCATTAATGAGCAATAGCTCTATATTGTAAAAGATTAAGTTGTAATAGTGCTTTTATGCGAGTGTTTATCTTGTGCTTCAGTAATGAAGTATGTGACTTTTCTTCCAGTTCATGTTCTGCTCTTTTCTGACAGTCCATTTTACTTTTTATTTTAATCAGCGCCTCTTTTAGTAAATCTGCTCCTAGATGTCCAAACGTTTGTAGATGTAGCATAGGAGGCAATGAGGCTGGATGTGGTGTGAGTTGCTTTTATTTAAATCAGATTTAAGTCCAAAAACTGAGTAGCAGAGGAAAACAGAACTAAACTAGAAGTAAAACCTAACAAGACCAGTAAAACAGGCAACAGTGACAGGGATAACATAGACAATGCAAGACACAGGGGTATAAATACACTGAGGGGAAACAAGAAACACCTGGGACTAATAAGAGGGCAGGGCTACAGACAACATGTGGGTGGCACAGATGACAAGGGAGGAGACAGACCAAAACAACAACAAAGGCACATGGCAGATGTAAACAAAAACACACATCACACTGGGAAACAAGAAAACCAAGATGAAAACAGGAAAAACAAAGACAGAACAAGATTGGATCAGCAGGTGTCTACTGTGACATCCCGTGTTTCCTTCTGAAATCAGGGTATTAATAAGGAGTTTGTTCCCCCTTTTGCTGCAGTGACAGCCTCTACTCTTCTGGCAAGGTTTAACACTAGATGATGAAACATTGCTGTGAGGATTAGATTGCTTTCAGGCATAAGTGCATTAGTGAGGTCAGGTACTAATTTTGGATGATTAGTTCTGGATCATTCCAACTAATCCCAAACGCTGCTGGGGGGCTTTATACCCCTCCAGCTGATGCTTTGCATTGGGCAGGCTGGCCTAGTGCAGCTGCTCCAGAGTGTCCCATTCTATTTACAGTGCTTTTCTATGGAGAGTATGCAAGCTGTATGGGCACAATTGAGTACCCATGTCAGCAACGAGTGCACCTTAAAGTTACTGAATTTAAAAGGGGTGTCTGGGTACTTCTGGAAATATGGTGCTCAACAACATAACTTCACTGCTATGGACTAGAACCATTATGTAAAAAGACTTTGCCGCATCTATTGAAAACCACATGAAGTACATTAATTCTTGTCATCTAGTCCATATATAAGCAACAATGACTAATAAAGAGTTTGTAATTATGAAGCAAACTAATTTTTAGGGGTCTGCAAATCACAAAACTGATCTGAAGCAGTGAGGGTGGAAAAGCAGGATGGTTTGGACTATTTTCATGCTTCCAAGATAATGTAATATTAGAACGTGCCAGAACTGAACTTAACACAGTTTGAGGACAGCAAAGGAACCAAACCGAATATTTTATTCAGTTTGTAGTAAAAAAAAATTCTCGAACATTCAATAGTGCAAGTTGATAAAGGCCTCAGGTAGCTCACAAGAAAAACTCAGCTAAAAATCTTGATTTGTGTATAACTAAGTTTTCTTTGTATTTTGGCATCAGATCTGTTGCAAATGAGTTATTAAATGTCATTTCTCTAATGAACAATAAATGTTATATTTATATCCTAACGCTTTAAATGGGAGTTAAGCCACAATCCTAAAACTTAATAACTTTTTATTCTAATTTGCATTGTTTTCATGTAGCTACTGAATAATAAGTCATAGCAGGTAATAAGCCTGGGATTATACAGGGTTAAAGGGCCCATAGGATCCCTTTTTCTTCCTATTCTGAAATAGTGTTTGACGTAGCATTCAAACATTGCTGAATCTTCAAAATGTTCCGTTCATTGTTTTTGTACTGTCACACAAAGCAATGCATTTACGTGCATCCACCTTTTCAGCCCAAAGCATTTTAGCCCACATCAAAGTTATAAGGAATGTTACAGACTGCTTTTTAATTGAGTTACAATAAAGAGCAGCCAATCAGAAAAGAGGAAACCGGGGCTGATGGGTAAATGGTACATTCCAGGAAGCTACGCTGTCTGGCAAATAAGCAGTCTGTTGTGGCATCACTGTTTTTGTGATGTCACAAAAGCTGATGCATTTACAAACAGTATATCTGCCTATTCTGCCTACAGTAGTTTAGCCCCTCCCACTCACACCGAGCTATAAGGAGTGTTACAGACTGCTTTTTAAATGAGGAACAATACAGAGCAGCCAATCAGAACCGAGATCATATATATATATATGTATACATATGTATATATGATAAACCAAACCAAAATTGTAAGTGGAAAAGAAAAAGATAAATAAGTACAAGTACGATACAAGCCATTTAAACTCTTTAAACTCTCTGCTTCTTGTTCTCCATTTCCCTCCTCCTCTCTTCCACTCTCTTCCTCTCCCTCTCCTTCTCTCTGTAATATTCCTCCTTTAGATCCTCCCTCTTTCTGCGCCTCCAGCCTTTAGCAGTGACATGGTAAAGGTCCACGTTGTTGCCTGAGTAAGCGTCTCTGTGTGTGGCCCTGTACACGGCTTCCCTGGCTACAGAGACAGCTTCGTCCACGCTTATCCCCCAGTGAATCCTCCCGTCCAGTATGGAGTAAGCATAAGGAGAACCGGAGCCCACCGAGAAGAGCTCCCCCTGCAGGCGGAGGCCGTCGCTGCACACGTAAAAAAGCCTGGGACCGGCCTGTTTGGTAGTTATTAATGTGGAGCTTGTTTTGTTGCTTGCTGTTGGTTGAGTTTTAGCATCAGGCTCTGCTCCTGCTTGAAAGCTTGTTTGACTGACTGCCTCTGTTTTTTTCCCATCGGTCCCTTTAGATTGAGGGCCAGCATCCATTGATCTTTCATCTCCACCTAGAAACTCATCCCCATCCCATCCACACAAGGTAGCAGCCACGCACAGCTCTGTGCCCTTGAATGGGTGCAGCATGTGGGACAGCAGCTTGGCAGCGCCCCCTGTTGACAGCCTCCGGTGGTTCCGCAGCTGATAGAGCCGTAACTCCCGCGCCAGGATGCGCTTCCAGAGGGCGCAGTCGGCCGAGGTGCCCGAGGTGGTGCTTACCAGATGGGAGTGGATAGGTAGGATCTTCTGGGACGCCGGGCAGGACACTAGCCCTGCACAGCTGGAGCGGGAGTCCGCTGCGGCTATGACCCCACCCTGGAAGGCAAAGCCCAGGGTGGTGGTACCGTGACCCAGGGGGAACGGGAGAGGAACGGAGGGAGAGATGGAGAGAGGGATGGCAGATTGGACGGAGATGGAAGGTAAAGAGTGGTGGAGGTGGTCATCGGCTTTGGGATTTGTCCAGTCTGAGTTGAAGCTTGGCCGGATTTGACCAAACTCAATTGGGCTCTCCGTCAGATATTCCTGCACTGGTACATAAAATTCCAAAGGACTGGAACAGCTGCCCCTCAGAAGCCACCTAGAAACAGAATCCGCTCCAGATCCCCTTCCAAGCAAGCAAGTGGTGTCTTCCCAAGACATGGGTGACAAAAGTGGAGCATTCCAGTGAGGATAAAGGGGAGTGTTGAGGAAACCACACACATCTTGTAAAGCCATAACTTACTGCACAGAGATGATGATATCAATATTAAAAAAACTAGAGAAAAATCTTTGTTTATAGAAGAAATAAAGAAGCAAATAAAATGTGAAATACGGTATCAGTTCAGTTAGCAAATGTGGTTAGCATTCCTACACGACTTGTGTTTCTCAGGCCTTTTATAAATTTCTAGTTGGATTTGTTATCAGGCCCCTCCCCCCCACATGTCATGCTTTAGCGCAGCGATGCGGTTCAGATACGCATGAACATAAACAGCATGCTTTCTCAGTGAAGCCAGGTGAAGGACGCTATTTAAAGCTGAGGCAGGGGATTTCCCTCTGAAAGTGCATACTTTTACACTAAATAGAGCCAACACAGTACTGCAGAAAGCGTCTGAAACCATAGTATTCATCAAATGGTATATAAAACTATCCAGATGCCATACTACATCTGGTCAAGTGTGCAAACAGTGGACATTACTGTACACCAGAGGTCCAAACATTCGGCCTGTGGGCCTACAGTGGCCCAATTAGAGTCCTTATCTGGCCCGACAGATTAATTTAGAATACGTTTTCCAAATTAAAACCAGTGTGACCATTTCCAAAATAAAGACCGACACAATACTCAACCAATCACTGTTTAGCAACCGTCTCTAGCAGCTCATTGGCTGTTCACGCTCACTAACGTCATCAACGTACATGAGGCGCCGTTTTAAGTCCTATTTCAAGAGTTCAAAAGCTCTTAAAACTATAACAGCAGTGTTAAAATGTTTTATGCTGTTCTGTGTTCAGGAAATAAATGTATTCTTTTATATTAAAAATGTTTAAACATTTCTAAACTATGATTTGCTCAAATTCTCCATCTTAACCCATTTATTTTGGACTCACTCAGGAGCGCCCTCTAGCGTGTGAAAAACCCAGAAGACATTACAGAGTGGTAGATCTCCTCTCTACAAGTTCTCTGTCAGCGCTCAGTAGCCGTAATGCTAGCATCCTGCTACAAAAACCTGTTTACTGTAGAAAAAAGGAAACATATGGGTAAGTTTTATTTGCTTTTTTGGTAAAATGCATCCCTCTATTTTCTAAAATTAAAGGAAAGTTCTGGGCAAGTGATTAGAAATAATTTTAACGTTTAGTTTTTAGCCGTTTATCTCCATTCACTGAGGACTTGCTCACGAGCGCCCTCTGGTGTTTTGTAGGTGTGTTTTTGATATAATGGGAGAAATAGGAAGAGGCCAGGCTCCTCATAAATCTACTGAGGGCTGAGAGAGTGAGACATGAGCTGAGTAGTGAACGAGCTGTTCGTAAAGAGTAAACTGCTCATGTAAGGCGTAGCTGTGGCCAACAGCGAAGCTGTGTCTCTTTTGATAGCACTGAAGGCTACAATACTGTCATATCGCCCAGCCCTATCAGCACACTTTTTGAATTTTGAATACTGAAGAGTGCGCAAAATCCTCAAATGCCTAGGCGTGATCACTCCCTCACCGACAACGTCATTTTTTTAATGTAAACTAATGCACTGTAACAGGAAGCAAAAAAAGGGGGAAAAAACACTGATGCTTCTTCAGTAATGCCATTCCTAAAGGCCTCTGCACATTTCCTTACATTACTGTTACACTCGGTGAACATGAAATATAGTTTACATTTTAAGTTAATATGATTTTTGTTTTAAAGTTGAGCAGATTTGCCTTTTTACAGAGATTTCAGGCATTCATGTTCTCTCTCTCTCTCTCTCTCTCTCTCTCTCTCTGAGCCTAGACCTAAAACTTACTATAGTATAACTATATAATATTCAACACGGTTGATTTTGTTGTAGCGTCAACACTAGAAAAAGACAGATTTAAGACAGCCATCCTGACCACCTCACATTTGTGTAACCCGGCATAGAGTGCATTTTCTGTCAGACGTGAAGCTCGTGCGAATTTAAATTAAGTTTCTGAATTTGTGGGCAGAATTAGATCCCAAAAGAAGCCACTATTGTAAGATTTGAGTTTTGGCCTGACTAAATACTCCAACAGTTTCTATGTTAATGTTTAAAGGTTGAATTCTAGCAGTAAAAAAATCAAAAATGTTCATTATACCTTCCATCATTTTACTGTTATACCCTCTACTATTTTCCTGATGTGGAATCGATCCGCAGTGTTACTCAGATAGCACAGTAGTCCGCCTGATTGTTAGCTGTCTTTCAGTGATTTCAGCATATTAATCTAATCATTTCTACAGGTTGTGTATTTTCTGCCTATTATTTTGTGATATTCAGTCGAAGTCAGGATTTAATCTCGTCCCTCGGGGGAGGAAGTCCACAGTGCTCCGAAAATATCACTGTTTTGAGCTCTGGGAGTTAGCGTCCTCAGAGACAGGCTGTGGTCCTGACGGTCGGGCCTGCAGGTGCCTCTGTCGGCCCCACCTGCCTCCCTCACACGGAAGAGCAGCCGCAGCTCAGCGGTGACAACATTCCTGAACACGACAGAGCGCTCAGCACGTCCTGACTGCTAATGCTCACTTTATTTCAGAGAAAATGTCGTTTTGGGTCTTGAATTCACCTCAGCTGCTGTCTGGACTGTGGTGTGATGTGCTGTGAAACGCGACGACATGACGGTGTGGGGGAGTTTGAGCTTCGTCCGCGGAGTAACGCTGTGCGCCGCGGTGCTTTCTGTGGTGAGCTATCATATCAACATTAGCGCCTGGCTTCATTCAGCCTGCTTCAGTTTCAGCAGTTTAAGCAAGTTTTTCTTTCATTACCGGCAGATAAATGCTTATAAATCATTTCAGGGCCAAAGTGATGAGGCTACTACTGACTTTTTTTACTCTTTCTCTTTCTTGTCTGAAGACACGAAGTACATTTTTTTAGTTTTCTTTCGGCACTCGGACACATTTTCAGTGCCTAATGTTACTCCATAACAGCCAGTCGTTATTGTCTTTGTTAACTGAGAAAAAAAATCCTCAGATATACTTTTATGGCTCCTTCACACGTTCAGGATGTTTGTATTAGTGCAGGAAGTAAGAGAACCTTTGGTTAGCTCTCAAAAGGGAAGTAGTTTACCAGTCTTTGCACAGATGTGCACCCATGAGCATTAATATTAAGTCCACCTCCTTGTTTCTACGCTTATTGCCCATTTTATCAGCTCCACTTACTATATAGGTGCACTGTGTAGTTCTACAGTTACAGACTGTAGTCCATCTGTTTCTCTGCATACTTTGTTAGCCCCCTTTCACCCTGTTAGGTCCACAGGACCACCACAGAGCAGGTACTATTTGGACGGTGGATCATTCTCAACACTGCAGTAACACTGGTGGTGGTGTGTTACTGTGTGTTGTGCTGGTACAAGTGGACCAGACACAGCAGTGCTGCTGGAGTTATTAAACACTCACTGTCCACTCTAGTAGACACACCTACCTTGTCAGTCCACCTCAGAAACAGTAGCTCATCTGCTACAGTTTGTGTTGGTCGTCCTCTAGTCCTTCAGTGGTCACAGGATGCTATTGGCTGGATATTTTTGGTCAAAACTCCAGCAGCACTGCTGACAAAATCGTTAAAAAAGCACAATTGGCTATTTTTTTATTCTGCAAAACAAGACTAGCTTCTCTACAAGGAACCAGCGAGTTTGTTTCCATGTAAACAAGTGAGTGTATTTAGATTTTTACTCTAACCGCTCTCTGTTGTGTCTTTTGCTTAAGATTCGCTGTGATGTCTCCAAACACACCACTGACTCACCGTCACCTGCTTTGGACAGGAGTCAGCATGGGGATTTAGTGCAGTTTGGTTCGGCGCCTGATACAGCTGCAGCGGAATCCAGTGTGCAGGTGAAGTACAAATGTACCAAAGCCTGTAGAGTAGGGGTTGAGGTTGTGCTGTCCACTACAAGAACCATTGGATTTGTGAGCTTCAGGAGAACATGGACCCATGTCCGGAAGGTTGGAGAGACAAGGACAAAAACGATTCAGCTTGCATTTCCTCCAGCTTTGGTATACAAAAGAGACTTTTTCATTAGGCGGCCCATGGATGCCCACAATGTGATGGTCAGGGCCTGGCTGGTCCGTCTGGATGAAGAAGGAGGGGGTAGCAGTAATATTGGAATTGGTCAATATCATCAATCAATAGTCAGAACGTTTAAGTTCCTGCAGGTGGTGCCACTTTCTGAGCGTCCCACCCAACCATGGACCAGATCAGTGGCATGGGGGGCGGAGCTAATGTGGAATGTGACCAAAGACAGAATAGAACAATGCTCTCCAGAGTCAGGTGAGTTTCAGATGAAGAAGTTACACTTGCTGTGGATCGTATGGTGCAATGTATGTCAGGAAAATGGCAAAGCAACTCATTAAAGCTCATTTGAACATGACAAGCATTGGGCTGGTAGCTTAATCAAACACTAGCTTCTAAATACTTTAATGAAAACTGTTACAATAACTGCTTAGACTACAATGCAACTTCGCTATGCTTAAGTTGTAGAAGTGTAGGTAACGCTTTACTGTAGGTCAACGTTCTTAAGGCTACACAACACCTACATGCCAACTGCCTGTCATGACAACTGACGTAAACCTATAAAAGCGTTATAACAGTCAGTTATAACAGTCATAACACTTTCTAGGGTGGAATTTCCTAAAGCAGCCTTTATGATGACTGATTCTTGTTGGAATAAGCCTTTCTAAATGTTAATGTAGGTTTAGGTCAGATGTCATAAAAGGCTTATGTAGTTGTTAAGTAGCCTCACAAATGCAGCCCTTCAGTAAAATGTTACCAAAGTGTATAATAAAAGTTTGGATGTGCCAAACTGTGAAAACTGTGAGTTACAAGAATATGAAAACCAGTCAGTGTTACTGACAAGTTACAGTGTTACTGTAACAGTCACTGTTACTGTTACTAACTACTGCTAGAGTCTTATCAGAGTAACAATTGAGAATATGAAAACAAGTCACTGTTACTGACTAGTAACAGTGTTACAGTGTTACTGTTACAGTCACTGACTACTGTAAGAGTCTTAGTAGAGTAACAATTGAAAATATGAAAACAGCGTTACTGTTACAGTCACTGTTACTGATGTAAATGTGTTGCTACTTCAGTGAAATAATGAACAAAGTATAAGTAAAAGGACCTTTCCAAAGAAACAACTTGAGTAGAAGTATGAAGAAGAGCAGCAGATCATGCGGCCTCTCAGCATAGGAAGTGAAGTTCGTTAGCCGCTGTTCCTCTCTTCTTGGCCATAGATTAACCTCATAGATTAAGGACTGAATGCAGCACCAATGTTGACTCACTGTTGGTTTTTGTCCAGACTCAGGTTTAGTCTGGCCTCTATTTGATGCTTTTGTTAATCTGACGTTGCTGTTTCAGATGTTGTGGATCTGCTGGTGTTCCCCTTTGCAAGCACTGGAGAGAAATATGGAGTCATCCGTACGTTTTCCACCTTCATCAACAGAGAGCTGGAGACTGCACGCTTCCGCGCTAAAGAACAGCCCAGGTCAGAGAATCAACACTGCTCAGTATAAATAAACTGAATTTTATAATATGATGAAAAACTGTGCCCTTTTAACCCATGCAAAATTCTTCACATTACTTTTCAGATCTAACAGCTTGTTCTGTTGTCAGAACAAGATGTCAGCCTCTGAAGAAGTCAGAATAACTATGAAATTTGAAATATATAGTAAGGGTGAAAAACACTCCCTAAAGCAGAATTCCCCAAATTTTTTATTTTTCAAAATTTCTGCATAATTCGCTTATTGAGATGTAAGTCATTCCAGGTGTTTTGAAAGTTTTTAGATGCAAATCAACTCATGGGCCTAACTTTTCAGGTCTGCTTACTGAAAATACCCGGCCGACAGTGTTCCTGTGGTTGACACTGATTGCTAATGAAGGACTGGATGGCAGAACTCATAACAAAGGCAAACACACTGAAATCGATAAAGAGCTTATATCCGTGTTTGGTTGATAAACACAGAGCATATATCCGTGTTTATCAACCAATAGTTTTGAATAAAATAAATACTTGCCATATTTGAGACTGTGTGTTGATAAGCAGTGGAAACCGTCTTCTTTTTATTACACTCAGGTCTTAAAAAGGTATTAATAAGCATTAAATTTGATTCGAAAACTTGTGCAGGAACCCAGTGTAATGTTAATAATGGTAAAATAGCGGTAAATAAAAAAGAATCCTTGTCTTTGTATGCTGTTTTGCCTTACAGCACCCTGCGTGTACCTCTCCGCCATAAATGTTTTGTCAAAAAATACATATTCAGCCAAAATCTGATTGCTAAACTGTTGTGAATCAATGTTTCAGGCTTCAGGCACCATATTCGCATCATTTTGTGTGATAACTTTCTGTGAGGCATTAAATGTGCCAGATGTCTGGTTCGTATCGTTACTGGGAACAATTCTGGCTCTGTAGGTTTTTTCTAGAACAGAGCATTTCACATCAAACCACCCTGAATGACTTTAAAATTCTAAGTAAAAAAAAGTGTAATTAATGTGCCGTGTCAAAGGGAGAGTGTGTTTACGTTGTTAAATATACACCTGCAGAGTGGCCCTGTCGGTGTGGTTGTACCTGCTGGACTGGTGCAGCCAAAAGTTCTGTGCAATCCTCAGACACGTCAACGAGCACAGGAAGTATGGCACGCCTCTCGTAATGCTGACAGACTCTGGTGAGTGCACACTGATATCACAAAAACATATTAGCATTGCCAAAACTGCCGTTTTTAATAGTTTCTGTTTCACAGTTTTTGCTCTCTTTCTTAAGAAAGTGATTAACAGTCCCTAAAAAGCATAAAGGCATGTGTTCAGTAAAAACAAACTCTGCCCTTCTTCTTTGTTCTCCTTTGTTGCATATGAAGAGCATGGAATGTCTCTGTGCTACTGAGAAAACATCTAAAACACATATTGTATTTTTATTATATATTATATTGTATTTGATATACATTCCCTTTCAAAAGTTAGGAATTACTGTTTTCAGTGACACAAAACTATTTTTGTTGCATATACATGGGTGCATTATTCAAATGCACCAACAATGTAGACCTTTAAAAACTGGAAAGAAGTCAATATATGAGATATAACTGAGAAAGCTGTATATCATTTAACTTTAATGAATTGATTAAAATTTAATTAATTTCTTTTGAATTCCTGTTTTCCTTTGAATGCTTTGTATTTCAAAAGCCATGATTATATCTTATCTGATAACTTGACAAGAAATTACTGTAAAAGTTTAATTACATATTTTTATATTAGTTGCCATTTGGGGTCGTAACAGATAAACCACACTGAGACCACTTTGGAAGGGGGTTCAGGTGGGTGCACTTTTGGGACCATTTTTGTGATCATATTTCTGCCATATTGTACACCTCTGAGTAAGTTTAAAACTGAACAATCCAAATGTGAAAACAACCTTAAACAATCCTGAAATCTTGGGGTACTCCAGCCCCCTTGGCACCCCTACTTCCCACGTCCCTGCATCAGTCTAGACGTCTACGTTTGCCTGATTTTTTTTTCAGTCCCGCTCCCTCAAGATTTCATTCCACACCCCTTCAGAAAATCTGCACCCTTTGTCTCAATCCCACCCACAACAATAACCTTTTGTCCTGCTCCCGCCCACAGTCTTGTATAGCTGGTTTCCATCTGCGTTAGTCACGTACGTTAGCACTTTCCACCTGACTGTCTGTTTCTGTATGCAGTTCACTTGTTCACAGGATTGGTTGCTTCACAACTCTTTGGAAAGAATTTATTACTTCTTATTAATATGCTGCAAGATATTATTTATATTTCTATGTGTCGTCCCGCTCCCAACAACACTGGGCTGGTTAATGGCTCTCTGTCCCCGCATGCTGTGCTGCAAAATACGCAGGACCTCCACCATAGTCCATTTTCTTTATCTGCCCCAACCCTGAAAGCCCTGTATACTAAACTCAAAGGGACTGTATGCGCTGTAGATGTAGTGAACGCTGTCTGACTTTGTGTTTGTTCTGTGAAGGTGAGGTGGTGGTGCAGATGCGTTTGGTCTCCAGAGACGAAAAAGCATTTACAGCTCACACACCTCTGCCTCTGCGGACCTGGATCCGACTGGACCTCTTTATCAACGACTCAAAGGTAGATTAGTGACGTTATAGAATTCATGTTTATTGCGGTGTTTGGGCGTGTGAGATTATTCCTTTAACCCTGTAAAGTTACAGTCACATGTAAAAAGTTTAAAACAACATTTTCAAATTAGATATTTTGTTGATTTTCTAAATGAACAAAAAACATGTCCACAAGAAACATATATAAATATAGGTGTCATATGAAGTGTCTTATGCATAGCTCATGAAACAAGCAGAAAATTTCTCTTACCAAGTGTGAATTCTAAAGTTTTAGTCGAATGTAAATGTAATCATTACTTTTTCTGTATTTGTGGAATTATATTAAATAAAGAATAACTATGTAATGTAAATCAAATATATAGATAAATGCAAACAATGTCTGCACTACACCAAAAATTAAACTGAGCAGATCTGCTTTGAATGCTGTTTATTTCGACCAGCTGCATAAATATAATGATATTTTTACACGCAGCACACAGTGTAAGACTCTGGACACAGCAGTGACTGTATATTGTACTAAAGATTGTATTTCTAATTGTACTGAGCTGTGCTGCTTTTTTCCTCTGCAGGCAAAACTCAGAATTACACATGAAAAGCCTACAGGAGACGTGGCGGAGGCACAACACACATATGAGTAAGAGCATTTTTAATAGTTTATATGTATTAATATGGTCTGGATGCTGTCATACTGTGTTGTGTCCTTTTATACTTAATAATAAAATGTCTGCTACCATGATCTGGCAATTCATACATTCTGACTTTTCAGTTATTTGTAATTTCAGCACTGATTACATGCATTACTGGTGTCCTTCACATGCAGATTTCATGTTTGGAGTTACAGTTTATGTTTGTATGCCAATTCTCCTGTTTTTGTTAGTGTGCATTTAAAACTGATGTATGTAGATGACCTTCGTTGTGATTGGCTGCCCGTTATTGTGCCTCATTCAAAAGGCAGCCTGTGCTGAAACACTCCTCATAACTGAAACTTGAATGGGTGGTAAACTGCTCTATGCTGAATAGGTGTGTACAGTTGCGTGCGAAAGTTTGAGTACCCCTAGTGAAATTCCATGTTTTGTTGATTTTTTAAAGTGAAAATATGTTACACACACAGTAAGAACACGCTTCTGCACAGTTTAATACACATTTACTGTTTATCTGCTGAATCAAACATATTGGAAAATAAATTGAAGCATAAATTTTATATTGAATATTTTATTATGCACTAAAATTGGTAGAAAGTGCCATATGCATGTGTGTTTTCTGTGGAGGATGAACAAAACGTCAAACAGGGCCGTTCAAACCTTTGCGTAAAACTGTTCATGTAAAAGTGTTGTTTTTTGTGATGTCTGCAAAACCAGTGAATTATGGATGAATGAATGACTCAGAGACTTTAACAATGTTTTTAAAACTGACTTTTTGATAATGTGGCCTCTTTAGACATTAAAAGCAGGTTCAAAGACAAGAAAGTGCCAAATTCTTTTTTTGTTTTTTCCTTTACAGTGTTTATATGAAATGCTTAGTGCAAGAGACTAAAATGTCATACTGATGTTTAAGGCCATTCATAGGGATTAGTAATTGAGAAAACTACCAGTTTTTGATGAGTAATGGAGTTAATTGAGAGAATGTTTTTTTGTTGGAAAAAGCCAAACAAAAAAAGAACTAAAACACTCCATTCATAACCATTCAAAGATTATAAATACTGTACCGAAAAAAAGATGAACTAGGATGACACTAAGCATTACACTGAACTCAGACTCCATGTGCTAAGCTCCTCTGTGTTACGTTCCAGGTTTCAGAATGCTGTTCTGCATAATGACACTTCAGGATACTTTGTGATTGGTGGTGACATCTACATGCCAGGCATACTTGGATATTTTGGACCAATCAAATATCATCGTTTAGGTGCTGAACAGGTGAGAATGCATGTCTGTGTACTTTCATGTGTGATACAGCCTAGTTCATAGTTTGTTTGTACCATAGATTGTGTACATATTGTATACAGTCTATGGTTCTTACAGTCGCTTGCAAGAGTTTTGATGGTCAAATTGCATGTTTTGTTGATTTCTTTTTTCAAGTGAAAACAAATGAATACATCCTCTAAAAAGACCAAACGTCTGCACATTTTAATGGACAGTTACTGTTTATTTCCTGAATTTCATATAATGGGGGAAAACATAAAATGTAGCCTGTGCAAAAGTTCTGCCACGTATTTTTTCCAACATGTTAAACTCAGCAAAAATATAAAAAGTGCCCTAAAATTTGCAGAAAAAAAGCTTTTTTTAATTATGGATTTTCACTTATTTAATTGAAGGTGCTGATTCAACTGCATTAATTATGAAATGTTAGAATTAATTATAATCCAGTGTAACAATAGAAGTATTTGTTAAGTGGCTTTATTGTCCATTTCACTACTGAGGGAACCCACTGTTACGTTTCAATGTTGAGTGTATTTTAAAAATGAATTCAGAATCAAATAAAAATAATCAGATCAAATCATGATGAAGTCTGAGATTCAGTAATTTCCTGAAGAACCACAATCAGATTGAGTTAGATTTACACTGCTGTTAATTTGCATACACTTCATGTAGTAAACTGTAAAATCTTTATTTCTGGTTAGAGAGAGACACAGAGAGAGAGAGATGTGTGGATAAATAACACATTAAACGTAACCGGTCGAAAGTTATGGCATGTTTTATGTTTTAATATGTTAAACTCAGAGAAGATGAATAGAAACTGTGCACTGAAAATGCTAAAAAATGAGATATTAAAGTTTGTGTTACTTTATTTTCACTTACAAAATCAACAAATGATCTAATTTGACTGAAGCTTTTCAAACTTTTGCACACAACTGTATGGATGCAAAAAAAAAAAAAGATTGATAGATCAGCAATTCTCCAAGCTTTAATGTCCACACAAACACTTGTAATGTTTAAATGCATTTCTTTGTACTTGATTCAAACAAGTGGCTTCACTTTTGTTTGTATGAGTGTATTTTTATGCACTGTGTCATTTTCGTTTGAGGTGGTAAATCCTCTGTCTCCAGTGAGGACCCTGAAGCTGCTGGATGAAGCCCACACGAAATGTGAGGAGATGAGATGGGTCACTTCAGGCTTTCTATATGCTCTAGCAGATGGCCGAGTCAGACACAACAATGGTGAACCTCTCTGCTGCTTGTTTCCCTGCTTGTAGCTTAGTGTAAAAAAAGCCAGTCCAGCTCTGAATTACAGAGTCGTGCCTGTTGAATAGATTGAAAAGTTTCGTTGGTTGTGTTGACTACAGTGTTTGTGCCCTGATCTTTCAGATGTGTGTGAGTCGTATTATGAGGGGCTAAGGAGGACGTTTGCTCCGCCGAGGTGCATACAGACGTGGTCCTGGGATCAGCAGGTCAAATACAGCGCTGTACTGAAGATTCTCAGAATGCAGGAAAAAGAACTGAACTTGGGTATCAGCACCTTTAAAGCTTTCATACAGCACACATACTGAATACAACTGACAAGACTGTAATTCCTCTTGTTACCTTCCCCTGATTAACTGTGTACTTTTATTATCTTTACTTTTTAAAGAAAATTAGAAATATACTGTCATATAAACAGACCCAGTGTGATTTCTAATTTAAAAGGTTTTTAGGTACAGTAGGTTTTTGAGTACAATAGGTGTAATTAACATTATTTTCTTTACTGTACACCCTGTCAATAGTCTTTGCCCACACCAAAGGTCAAAGGCATCGACATTTTTTCTGCCCTGATTTTTATTTTCACATCCATAAACAACCACAAAAAGAGTACAGCCTGGACGGCTCTGCTCTCTATCTTGTAGATGCATATCATTACATATTCAAACTCCTTCATCCTCGTTCTGTCGAGTGCCAGTCTGTGTCGTATTTCCTGACTGCTGGATCCTCTGTTGTTGTTAATTGATCCATGCAAAATATCTTCACCATCAATGATAAAGTTAGCAGTCTTTCCTGTTCGCCTGGTCATAACAGAATGATTGTGTTGCATTAATTCTTTACATTTCATGCATTCACCTGTGTTCACTCCTTCCTGCAGACCCGTGGAGCAGCAGAAGAATTTTGCTCTTGAGTCAGCAGCTCTTCCAGGACGTGGTCATGGGGTTAGGTGAAATAGGAGGTGATGGTGTTGGGCCGGAGGTTGTGTCTTCTCTTTTGGAGCTGCTGCAGGTGTGCTCCTGCTGGGGTCATCACCAGGCCTCCCTCATGCTCGCCACTTTACACCTAGCTGGCCTCGGGCTGCCAGTGGACCAGGAGAAGGTAGGGGCCAGTGGAATGTTTTGTGTTTTTGATGTATATTGGGTGCCCAGTGTGCTCTGGATCTAAATCAGTGCTCTGCGTAATATTTCTGAAGCAGGTATAAATTCGGACTTGTCTTTGCCTGGTCAGCAGGGTGCTGTTTTATCATGAACTGATACGGGCTCTATTAGCCTGTAATCTATTTGTTTATCTGACATTACATTTTCAGTACAGCACATAGTATCTGGTGTTCACCACATAGTATCGGGTGCTCACTTGATAGTATTGGGTGCTCACCTGATAGTATCTGGTGTGCACCAGATTTTTACCTAAAAAAAAAAAAATGTCACCACATCCCTTCGGGGGCTCCATAGCAGGCTTTATGGATTACCAGCCCACCAATCTAGCTAATCTTTCCGTAGCGTTTTCTAGAGACCGCATCTAAAGCGTCTACATATTTTTTTATCTGTGTGAGTAAATCTCTGCGGCAGCATCCAAGTATTTCTTACACCTTTGGCTAGTGGTGTAATTTCAGAGTAGAAACTCTTTACCGGTTTAATGGATCTGTTTGTTAGGGGCGATTGTGCAGCAGCATTGAAAGTCATGTTAGTCTTTGAGCTTTTTGACCTTTCATGTCCACGTTCACAGGGTCATGTGTACAGCCTGATGGGAGGTTTAGGAGACGAGCGTCTGTCTCTGCTTCATCTGGGCTATAAGCACATGCAGGGTCTGGACGGCTTTCCTAAGGACCAGGACGTTGCGTATGGTTACTACGCCAACGTGGGCCGACAGACCAGCATCGATCGAGATAAAGTCCAGGACTCTGAGGTGAGCCGCCCACGTCTACTGACCCTACATATCACCAAACACCAACAGGCCCAAATGTTCTGCATAAGCAACACTTTTGATCGTTCAAAGACACTGACAAGTGTACGACTGTATGTGGTATTAGTTGTAAGGGCAATAGTTGGGTTACTGGAGAATCGAATCAAAGATCTAGACCCTCCAGGAATGTGGGATCTTGCGATCACAAGCATTCACTCAAAGCCTCACAGTACCTGTCAGAGCTCGCAAGTTTGTCCAATTACTCAATTATTTCTGAATTTAACATGCAAATCTGTGAAGCGCTTTCAAATTTAAGCATGCAGCTCAAACGCTGCTTGCCTGGAAGCCTCAGACGCTCCAACTATGTGTGGGCATCTGAACTAAGCTGGCCACATCTTGATCTTGTCAGTTCTGTATTGATTGCCCATCTGCACGTCTGTGTGAACGCTCTGCAGTGTCTTTTGCAAGCAGTTGCCTGCTCTTTGTGCTGTAACTGAGCCTTTTGTAGCAATACAGATGCTGGACGCAAAGCACATTAGCTGCTGGATTCACATTAGGTCAGAGTTGCAGTGATAGTGGATGCTCTAAGTACTTTATTTGAACACATTTTCTTCAGATTTCTTGAATATTTCTCAGGTTCTTTAGAGAACATGTTCAGTTGGCAGAGTGTACATGTGGATGATCTGTTAGTACTGTGTTGTTTTAGCCAATCAAAACAGCAGTTGTCTGAAGAGAAAACCCAGGACTGATTCCGAGCTTGTTTTACGTTCTTTATCTGTATTTGCATGAATAAACTCTTTCTGGCCTGGGTTTAGATTAGTTTAGCTAGTTTATATTTGAATGTTCGTTTGCATACACTCTTTATCTGCGAAACATGCAGTGAAGCCTGGAAAGATTCCAAAGTACTGAGCTGGAAAAAGTGAGAAGCTAAGGTTTCTGAGTGATCCAGATTGATTGAGTAATCATGACAGCCCCACTTATTTTCCAAAAATCATAAAAATAAATGAATAGGACTCAATAAATTTGGCTCAGTTTTAATCTGGTAGCCACATTAAATCTGGTGGACCAGATCATTAATATCATTTTCTCTAAAGTGTCTTTATTCTGGTTAAGGGGTATTTCATATAGAATATCAGCAGTAAGAGAAAACACAAAATGAAAAAAACATTAAATACATTCATTTTTTTTATTTGTGAAGAAAATAGAAAGAGTGAAAAGTATGTTAATTAACCCCCTGTTTGTTAATACAACACAATAAGTGTTAATTAAACACTGTAAGTGTTAATCTCTTACATTTTAAGATGTTAGGATGATTTATTGTTCAGTTATTGAAAACTTTATTTAATAACCACTATTAAGCATTGAGTAACTACAATTTATTACTCCATAACTACTGTGAATTATTCTGGAACTTTATTCATTATCTACCACTAATTATTCTATGACAATAATGAAATATTCAGTAGCTACTGTAATTTTCTCAACATCTACCATCAATTACTCTATGTCTGCTATAAAGTACTCACAATGTACTATAAATTACTCATCTACATAAATTACTCAGTATATACTGGAAAACTAATGTGCAAGTTCTGTACTACTATTAATTATTCAATTAAGAGTGAAATTATTGAATACCTACAAATATTCATTAACTACTTTGAATAATTCAGTAACGCCTATTAATTATTCAGCAACTACTATGAAACTGTGTAAGTTCTGTAGTTGTGAGAGTGAGGAACGGAAGTATGGACCACGTACAGAGTTTAAGGGGTTTAAGTATAATGCAGTCTAATCACTGTCCAAGTGATTTATTAACCCTTTATGATGCTTCATAGCAATCCATTACTGAACATGTGCGTGTGACAAATGTGGAGGAGCTGCAGATGCAGACGGGGGAGGAGGGGGATATTGTGCAGTTCATTAGACTGCAGGCTGAGAGGGGACACATCGAGTCTCAGGTACTGCATCATCACACACACACGCTAACTGATCTGTGTTCACTGCTAGTGACTTTTGCAGTGGAGTAATTATTCATTCATTAAGAGTTGCTGTCATTCATACATTCCTTTATATATTATACTGTACTAAAGTTTAGAATCTACATGTTCAAGCCAATTTTTCTATTTGTTGAGAGTGAGAGTGAGAGATAATTGCTTTTGTTACTGTCAGTAGGGGTGGGCAATATGATGATATTTTATTGTTATCATGATAAATTATGTCACAGTGGACTTTTCTTATGACGTAGTGGATATCATCAGGACTTTAAGAACACTGGAATTACAAAGTGAGCATCATTAGGCCTGTTTAACTGAATTTAGTGCAGTGTAGTTTGTGAAACACTGAATAAAAATCATTATACTTGTAGACTTACTGTTATAGTATTCTTATATGTGGTGCTACAGGTTCTATTGTGTTTGGTCCAACTTATTCAGTTTAAGAAAACATCACGATGCATATTGTGTATCATAAAAAGGTATCATGATACATTATTTTTGCCATATCTCTCACCCCTAACTGTCAGCGATAATTATGGCTTTTATGGTTCAAAGTGGTTTTTAAGTGCATTTCTTCTTCAGTTTGGTTCAGTGTGCCTATGTATAAGGTTTCAGCGAAGCTGTTGTGTGTTCATGTGGTAGAAAACACTGGCGCGGATGTTGTTCTGGGGCAGTAATGGTGTGACGAAGAACATCAGTGAAGCAGTGAAGTGGTATGCTAGGAGTGCCCTGCAGATGACTGATGCTACAGCCATGTACGACTATGGTATCCTCCTGCTGAAGGTCAGCCTGCTTCTCAAATCTGCTAACTTTAACACTGAGGACCAATGTAGGTGTGAATAGTAGTGAAAGGAGGTCTGGACTGTGTGGTGATCATGTCAATTATTAGATAACATTTATATATTTATCAGGGAACTGCAGTGAAGAAGAACCGAACACTGGGATTAAAGTTCTTGCAGAAGGCAGCTCACATGGTGAGTGTGATATATATGTACGTATACATATGTGTGTGTAGATATATATGAGTATATATTACAAGTTGAAGTTTAACAACACAATATATGTAATAAGAATACTTAAATCTCAGCCTCAAATCCAAATCTTGTCCATCTTCCTACTTTTTCTTTACATTTTTGGTGTTGAACAAGCTAAGAGGAGTGATTTGAGTACATATGTGTGTCTGTGAGGGTAATAACTGTAGTATGTGTTTGTCAGGGAGCCGTGACTGCTCTGAATGGTCTGGGTTGGTACTACAGCACTATAGGGAAAGATGACAGAAAAGCAGTGTACTACTTTGAGATGGCAGCTCAAAATGGCAGCAAGGATGGGGTGTTCAACCTGGGCGTTTATCACCTGAATGGGGCCAATCCAGACACACCTGGGAAGAATGAGGTATGCAGCAGCTGCAGACAGATATTACAGTACAGACATTTCAATAATGAAATACATGGTAGATTTAAATATATGAAGAAACTTCTGCTTATTCAGATTTCAGCTGATGCTTTTTAAATGTTGCTATTTCTTCAGAATAAAATAACGATTATTTACAGCTTTACTATTCACAGACTACAGCCTATGTTTCCCATATTACCTAACACACTGTTTCATTTTACCTCAACCCAGCCTACATAAAATAAGGCTAAAGAGAAGGACAAAAGAGAACTGTTAAAACTTATTACATGCTTACATTTAAGATATAATCATTTTAAACTGTTTTTTAGCTGTTGTACACTGTAAAGTCTTCCTCATAGGTTCTGCTTTATGTAAATGGTATATGGAAAATGGTATATAGAAAACTGGCTATGTTAAAAATGAGTAATTGAAAACGTTCTGTAGAAAAAAAAGGGCTATGGAGAGACAGTCTATGGTAAACTGGCTATGTTAAACATCAGTAATGGAGAAATAATCTGTAGAAAAAGGGCTACGGAGACAAGGTCTATGGAAAAAAACGGTCTATAGAAAACTGGCTATGTGAAATTTGTAATGGAAGAATGGTCTCTAGAATAAGGGATATGGAGACACGGTCTATGGAAATGGTCTATGGAAAAAACTATAAAAAAACAGATCTATAAAAAGTTGACTGGAAAACTTCTATAAAAAATAGAGTATGAAAAATAGTCTGTGGGAAATGGCATGTAAAAATGGTCTATAGGAAATATCTGCCTCTTTGAGTTGTTTTAATTTAATTTGTGACTTGTACTAATAAGTGCAGTGTATACAGATAAATTAGAGCAGGCATTCTCAACCTTTTTCATCCCAAGGCCCACCTGTTCATAACCATAAAGCATAGCAGCCAACAGAAAAACTAAAATCAGCTTTTTAAAAACAGCTTTCTTTTTTTTCCTAATTGCTCACGCTGAAAATCTGTAAATTAGGGTCTGAAAAAGATCGGATTGTCCATTTCACTTCAATCACAGAAACCAAAATTTGCAGTTATGTTAAAGACATGTTTAAACATGTTTGCAAAGAGGTCAAAAAAGGGGAAAAAGAAACAAAGGTAGATGTAGGTGTGGACTGTGATTTGGAGCTGCGGTCTCTGAAAATGCTCTCTTGTCTTTCCAACAGGAGTCACTGTTTGGTCTGGAGTCTCTTTAGTTTTGAGGGTTTTAGCGCCTCATTTGAAACAAACCTCGCTCCACTCACGATTTTGGATCAGCGTCGCTACAATCAACAATAATAATAAACCTTACTTGATATCAGGTTTATCAAGTTGAGTTTAACTACTCAGGTCGCTGATGCTCGGCCAGAAACCAAACACAAATCTTTGCTCTTATTTTATGGCTTGTCTGTCGTTTTTATCAGCTGCAGCTTGAGCTGCAGGAGCAATATGAGAGCAATAAGTCGGTAAAACTGGCAGATTATGCTGACAGTAAAGCGCTGACGTGCTGCTAGAAGAAGAGGAGAGCCAGCTTTATTGATGAATTCCTTCGTTTGATCATAAAAATGCGTCCCACCAGCAGTGAACCGAACAGGGTTCGGTTGGAAGCAGACCGAGACCTGCGGGTTTCAGCTGTTTGACGTTACTTTTGTGTTGCTTTTTGTTGTATAAATAGTGATTCTGCATACCTCACAGTGAAAATGAATACTCATGCAGCCTCTATATCTACATGCTCATCTGCCTCTATCTTAGACAACATAGTTCTGCATTCTATGTGTTTCAGACAGCAGCATTTCAGTGTTTCCTGAAGGCTGGTCAACTGGGGCATGTGGAGGGGGCAGTGGAGGCGGCATCGTCTCTCTCCAGAGGAATGCTGGCAGGAGTTCGCAGAGACCCTGAGAGAGCTGTGATGTATGTTCTTCAGTGCTTCATAGAGTGATAAGGAATGCTTGAAAGCTAGTGTTTGGACAGTGATTTAGACCACTATATGAAATGCCTTAGGGCTGGCAATTGGAGGTTTGACTCTAGAACATCCTGGAAGTAATTGACCAATCAAAATGCAAAATAAAACCACATTCTTAAAGCACATGTCAGCTGTCGCAAAAATCTAATGTGATTTGGTTAGAATTTTGTTTACATGTGTCGTGCAAAATCATCACAGTTAAATTGAAAATCAAGTCTAATTCTCTAACAGATAAAGAGTGTTCGGAGTGTTTTAGCGTGGAGGCCTCATTACACTTCGTCCTCTGTCCTGACGTCTGACAGGACTTTGCCCTTGTTTATGTTTATGGCTGGCCCAGATTATGCCTGACCGGTATGAGAATTTTGTGACCAATACAATACTGACCTTAAAAAATCTGATAAATGATACTCAGTCAGTATATTTAATGTGATCAAAAATAAGCACTCTCCAATATGTTGAAAGGCATGAAATCAATAAATTCATATTGACTGAGCATATATAAAACAAGTCATTTGATAACAGTGTTTATCAGCGGAATTTTTACTGGTTTTATCAGCCAGGCAGTGTATCAGTTGGGCCTTAGATTGGGTAAGTCCAGGTATGAGTTTTGTCATGGACTTTCATTGGTTATTTCCACAGTCTGCTGAAGGAGGTCACTGAAAAAAATGGCCACTTGGGCTTCACAGTCCGAGAAGCTCTGAAAGCTTATCAGCGAGGATCATGGTGAGAGACACTTTCATCCATCCAGCCAGTCACCCCTGTTCATTCTTCTCTCTTATCCTCCTGTGTTTTTTCTGTTTCTTACCAGAAGATATATTTGTTTCAATGCTGTGTACAGTGTTTCTGCTTTTACTTATGATTTTGCAACTTTTCAAACAAGTCAGAGTGACAGAGCATTTTTTTTCACTCACTTAAAACACTATATGTAAACTGTGTGTCCGTTTTGTGTGTTGTTTTGTGTAAGGGATGAGGCTCTGCTCAAATACGCCATGCTGGCAGAGACTGGTCTCGTTGTGGCGCAGAACAATGCTGCCCACCTCTGTGAGGTAATCCTGTTCTCCACTGAAGCACCTTTCACAGCCCCGCCTATGAACGTTTACTCACGGGGCTTATGATGTCATAAGCTTCCATTATTTCCCACCTACATTTGCCTCATAGCTCCAGAGCAAAATCAATGAAGCAAACCTCAGACCCCAAACATGTCTTGGTGGATTTTTGCCTGTTGTCTCTTTAAGGAGTGAGGCATGAATTTGAACCATAGGCCTATTGTTATTTGGCTTTTTTACCACAATTACATTTGGAAAATCCCAATGTCATAATAATATCTGGAGGATGTATGGTGGCATATCGGTGGAGATGTATGATTTAAAAACCTGTATTTGAAAAATGATTCTAAGACCTGAATGTGGTGTATGGTAAAGACATCCATGAAGACATATTCAGTCAATGATTTTTACTTATTTAGTTTTGCACTGAAGCTATGAAGCTATGTGTAATGGAAGCGTATGATTTGTTAACATCGTGCAAACTCAAATAGGCTTGCTAATGTGACACTTTCTGAACTGTATGACAGGTTATCCGTAAAAATGGACAAAAGTCTGGTGCTTGTTTGGTCCCGTTTTACTGATACAGCATGCCATGCATTGTCAGAAATAATATATCTGAGTAAGTGATTATTTGCCAAGCAAACACACCAAACATGGCTTGGCTGATCAACATTTGTGGAAAGGGGAAAATTAAAAATGTAAATTTAATACTTTTGCTCAACTCGCAGTTTAACTTGCGTGCTAGCAGATGTGTTGTAACATCAGTCAGCTCAACCTATACAAAATATTCCCTTTTCACGACAGGTGCTGAAGCACGGTTCTACCTGCCAGTGGAGGTATCATAACTACTCCACCCATAACTACGCTTCTCATGAATCTGGTAGGTTGTAGGGCCTACTGAATGTGCTGGTCCTTCACTTACTGCTTAGCAAAAAAGGAAAGTAACAGAAACCTCCCCCATCTCTCTCCCAGGTCTCTTGAAGATGGGAGATCACTACAGTGCTGTAGGTGACATGGTCAAGGCTATAGCCCTGTACAGCAGAGCAGCGCTACAGGGCAGTCCTCAGGTAACACACATTCGCCTCTGTAGTACTGTGCAAAAGCAGACATTCTTTGTTTGTTTAACTTCCAGTCAAATACAAATATGAATTTTTCTGGAGATCTTTCCAAGAAGATTTTCTGAACTTCCATTGGAGTTCAGAAAATGATTAAAAGCTACAGAAAAAATGAGACTCTAACAACCCTAAAAGACGTGGTAGACACCAAAACTGTCACCATCTGATAAACAGTACTTCAAGCTTTCGTCTTTGAGAGAGAGGAGAAAATTAAGCTCCACTCTTGCTTCAGATCTAAAAAATTGGTGTTTCTGTTCATCCTTCCACTGTGAGAAGTGAGAACTATGAGATTGAAAGGATGCGTAGCTGTCAAGAGGCCCTTACTGAGAAAAGAAAATAGACAAAAAAGGACATTTGCACTAGAACATTAGAGATCTAGTAAGGTTTTATAGTTGGATTGAACCTAAATTTGTAACTGGCATTACTTGATTAATGAGAAGCAAAAAATGCAACCGACTTGTAAGACTGAACTTTGGAGATGTGGAAAAATATTCCTGCAGATTTCTTTAAAAAACTGAAAGTGAGTCTCCTGAAAAGAATGTAAGCTGTAATAAAGGCAAGGTGTGGACACACTAAATACTGAATTATTTTATATTACATTATGTAGACTTCATAATTTTCCATTAAATATTGTTTCTCCCTTTTTAAAAAAATATATCAAAAAGTCATTCATTTGTATTTAATGGCCATTTTGACTGGAGATTAAATAAATGAACTGGACTTTTGCACAGTACTGTATATACTTTGTACTTGATCTAGCTGTCAAATATATACACTATACTCATTTCCTAAGCACGGCTTGGTTAAAATTTTACTCTATCAAAGGCACAATGCATGCAGTTGTTTCCTCTTTTTTATTAGAATTAAGTGTAAGTACAAAGCCTACACATTACACATAGAAACAGAGTGGTTTTAGAAATAATATCTGGAGTCTACTTCATCTACTTTAACAGAAAATAAAATATTTTTTTTTTCAATTGAAGCTCTTATTACTGTACACTACCAGAGGCTGTTTATAATTATTATTACTATAATTTATCCTGTTCAAAGACATGAAGAGCACATTCACTTCTACTAAACTGCACATTTAGGAACTAAGGAGAGCTACACTAAAGACGTTGATACTGAATGCTTATGCCGTGTTTCATAAATACAGGGAATGTATAATCTGGCAGTTTTGACTGAAGAAGGATACAGTGTCCCCTGGAATATTCTGAAGCAGATGCAGATTCCCGCTGAGGCTCAGCTGGACAAGAGCACTGTGGTGGAGAGTCTCTTACTAAGGTGTGGCCTTTGGATACTTTTGATATAAATGTGGAGATGCTAGGGGTGTGAAACAGCATGTAAAATGAAGGCAGTGATTCATCTGCATCAATTATGTAATGTTATTGATTGAATTGATTATAATCAGTTATAGTAATACTCATTAAACCTTGCACTTTTTTTAGAGGAAATCCATTTCTCAGACCATTTCTCACAGTGCTTTCTGCTGTGCTCTGCAGATGCAGGGAGTTTGAGAGAGAAAAGGATGACATGAGTCCATGCGCTCTGGCTCTGTTTGGGGTGCAGGTGAGAAAAGCATGGCGGGATTTCACTCACAGCACCACGCAGCTGACCCTGGCCTGGGGGACCCTCGCAGTTCTCCTCCTGTTTGTGCTGGGCATTGTGATACAAAGTGCTCTCTGTAAGCATTTCTACTTTACCATGCATTTTATATCATCACCATCCAAAAAAAGTAAAAACATGTATTTCCATTTATATTTTTCAAATGTGCTTGTGTCTGTGTCGAAATATTACAGTACGTATTGTCTGTTTTGAAATTGGATTGAAGTATCGTGATACTATCTTTTGCCATTTTACCCACCACTAGGTTAAGAACATTTAGCCTTTTCTTGTAAAGTTACTATGTTGGAGATGCATGTTTTTTTAGACAGTGACAGATGACAGTTTAGTAATAACATAAGCTACATTAGATGCAATTAGATGCATGAATCCATTCAACTTTATGCTGTGACCATATCTTAGTATAGAAAACATTCAGTGCTAGAATGCATCATTGAATTTATGAATTATAAATGTGTTCATGCCACTGTAGCACTCTGATCTCATAGGGAGGTTGTGTTGGCAAATGAGCTTAAAGAGATATTTTAGCAAAAAATCAAATGTACACAAGTTTAATACCCTAAATGTAGTTGATCAAAGACAAGTTTGGTGTCTGATGTTTACTTCTTTAGTTTCATAAAGAGGCTACAACAATAATGCAGCTAAGAAGTAATGGAAGCTAATTAGCTTTGGTGGAAAACTGCATTGAGTTGTTAAGTAAACTCAAACAGACTTGCTTATGTAGTTGCTGTTTTCGCTCATAGTAAGCTTTTTGTCCACTTTTTTTTTAGAAAAACTGTAAAAAAAACAACATAAACAAGGTGTTTACGTAATGTTTAAGTGTTTAACTCAAAGGGGCATTCCTGCCTAGGATTCTGTAGCACAGCAATATATTCCTCAGACACATCGGCTGGACAGAGTTCTTGATTTATCTCGTTTTTAAAGTTTTCGTTCATCAGGGTTCTGTTGCTGTAATACCCAAATACATCATACAGTCATTGGGAATCTCTGTGGTGTCAAACAATCCTGACTTCTAGCCTAGCCACTGAACTATTGGCTATTAAATACAACCAAGCTAGCATCCATTTTCTCCACTGAAAAGATGAATTTAACACGGTTGCCATAGTTAAGCTAACCCATCAGAAGGGTGGGTTTTCGTATTGTATTAGAAAATCTAATACAATGTAATGTCTTAATGTACCTTATAGCTTCAGTGCAAAAGTAAAGAAGCAAACTTTGGACACCCACTGCATCGAATACACCACAGACGATTGAACATTGAGATATTAGGCGTTGCTTTAACAGTAGTTAGCATCGCTACTACGATTTTCAACTGAAAAACGTACTTTATTAACAGCTAGTCATGGTCTGTTCCTGAACCTGGAAAAGAACGAAAGGTTAGTAGTCTGTTCAGTTCATTAATTTATTAATAGATTCTTGATTCGTTGTTTTTTTCTCCAGCCTACTACTCTGCAGTTCACATGGGCAGACTTGAGAGGCAGAGGGAATCAGATGCTATCAATCAAGTGAATTGGGAAAGAGTCCTGGATGCACCTGCCCATCAAAGAGGACTTCAAGTTCCCTCAGTTCTCACACATTTGGAACAGAATGGCCGACCCAGTATGATCCAGAACAGCCGACCACTGCGGGAAGCAGCTGACCTGGTGATTACAGTGACTGGAGTGTGCGTGTGCGCCCTCTGTACGATGTTTATCTCTCATCTGTTTTGAATGAAGGGGACACACAATGGTGTGAAACTACAGAAGAAAACAGCTTTATACAGTGAAACTTGAAGGTCAGAGTCCTCTCAATGTGAGGAGATACAGCTAGAAGTGCTCACCAGCATAGGCAGAGTTTGGGTTCTGTGCTGTGGGGGCATTGAATGTTTATCTTTTATGCACAGATACTATTAAAAAAATTAGGTGCAGAAAGAGTTCTTTGTTGCGACGCCATAGAAGAACCACTTTTGGTTCCCAAAAAAACGCTCTGGATAAATTTTCACATTTTTAGAATCTTTAAAGGATTATTTTTGTAAATGGGAACGTATAAGTGTGAGGAACCTTTTTTAAGTTTAACGAGACTTCACAAAATGTAAAGGTTTTATACTAAAACTAAAGTTTTTTCCTAGAACTGTACATCCAAGCCAAGAACTACTAAGGAACCTGTATATTCTTAACACCAAGACTGATGACATTGCCTTTACAGACATTTTGCACTGTGCTTTTATCAGAATTTTACACCAGATTGTTATTATTTTGTATTTCTTCCCAATATATTTATGGCCAAACCCCACCCACTAGTTAGTTCTCCCCTCCTTCAAACAGTGCTTCTAAGCTGGGAGGGTGAAGACTAGCACAAGCTTCCTCCAAGACATGTGAAGCACTTCTGCATCTTTTCAAACTGCCACTCAACACGCTTGGAGGAGAACGCTAACTGCAAATTCTGTTACATCAGTTAACAGACGCCCACGTTTGCTCACATCACTCTGAGTGACGGGGGAGAGAAAGAAGGCGAGGCCATGCTACCTCCAGTTCTCTTAGACTCTCGGCAACAGATGACTGTGGCATCACTGGAGATCAGACTCGCAGTCTTTCCACATTGGCTACCAGTGCTTAGATGGTTACACCAAAAGACACCAATTTATTTTGCCAAGCTATATTGACAAGTCTGTGTACTGGAACAATTAGTTTAGATTTATGTCTAGATTTACATAGACTTCTCAGTATAGCTTTACAGAATTATCTAGATTACAGAATTATGCCATTCTTTTATATAAAAAGTATGCATTTTATTATTTTCATGTTTTATTATTTTCATTTGTGTTGATTGTAACATAATATTGCACTTCCAGCTCTGGCCAGTAAGGGGTACAGTTTTTCTGCCTATACTCAGTCGCCTAGTGTTCATCAAATCCACTCGTGGGAAGAGACAACAGTTCACAGTTTAGTGCTTTTCCTGCTCTCCCACACCTGAGATACCATCACAGCTGATTAACAAACCTTTCCTAAATTCAGTCAGTTGTGTTGGAGCAAGTAAACACTGAACTGTGCTGTGCTGAGGACCTACAGATGTTAGTTTGAGTATTACAGCATTAGGCCCTGACTTCAAAATGCACATTTAAGTCAACCTAAAAGGAGTAAAAATCAAATTGACACAGTTATCATGACCCCAATAGTGGAACAGCCAAGACATGTTTGGAGTCCAAATTTTGCTCCCTTAAGTTTAGAACAGGAGCTACAAGGCTTACATTGCTAACAAACAGCAGGGTCTGTAATCACACTACTACAGGAGTAAGAGTGCAGATCTGTCAATGTTTGTGAAAATGACCATTATACATATAGAGATGTGAGTCCTAATTCATCCCAGCCTGTGGTTTGAGTGGGTCGTTGTTGAGTTTTGATGTATTTTTATGAGAACATTTCCATCTGTTTGGGTGACTATTGAGTTCTAGTGTTTGTTAGCATTGTTAGCCTTGCAGCTCCAGTTCTAAACTAAAGTACAAGATTTGCACACTAAACATACACCAAACCTACATCTGCGGTAAGTGGAAAATTGTTTACATCTTTTTTATTTTTGCTGCACTGTTTCTTCAAGTGAATGTTGTACTGTTCAATTATACGGGATTCAGCTGTTGAAGATCAAGACAGGATTTGTCCACTGATTCTATAAATGATCTTTTAGAAGCAGAAATAAAACATGTGGATGTACACTTTAGAACTTTTTTCTATGTCTCCTTTATACTCACGTAGTTTCTCTTTTTTGTTTTCTTTTTCCAGGTCAAGGCCTAGTGCCTGAGACCATGTGAATGTCACGCGTATGGTCCCACTGATCAAGCTTATAGATAATAGGTAACAGGTACAGGAAGGTACTTATGGTCAGGGAAGTCCTTATCTGGACGAGAACATCTTCATTTTGCAACAGGCGGAGGTGGTCAGGCAGTGCCAAGGTTAAAGCTGTCATTTATGATATGATGATCTACATAAATTAGGTCACCCTTTTTTTATTATTATTATCACCCTTTTTATTATTGTTGATGGTAACATCATGTCCAGATCATTAAGTCATTAAAGTGGAATTCCACAATGTTTTTTAAGCAGTCATGCTGAGTGGTTTGGTGTTAAATGCTTCATTCTAAAGACAGTAGTGATAGGAACCAGACTTCTGAAGAGTTTAATGCCTCTAAAAGGTCCCTCACATGAAATGGTTCCAGATGCTCTGCTGGATGCACGAAACATTGATTTACAATAACTTGAGATAAAGTTTTGGCTTAAAGTATGTGTATTTTAAATCCATTCATGGTGGAAAGGTACTTATGGGGTTTTGTGAGGCAAAAACGTCTCCAAAGAACACTTTTATATAGTAAATAAAATGGCTATATTTGTGTTGTAGACATCATGACCCCTTGTTCCCATTGCCTCCTTTGTAAAGAAATCAAAGTCAGTATTTCTCTACAATGAACCATTTCACATCAAACCACTCTGAATGACTGTATGTCTCAGAGCTTGAAGTATGCAGAGATTTTAGAACATTGGTGGCATTCCCCTTTTTGTCATGTCCAACTCATAACTGCAGTCACTATAAAAACAAACATCTAATCTGTACAACAGAGAATAGAATACAGTTAATAGCAAAATGTTATGTTAAAGCTTTAGTGGGAAATCTTAATAGCTTTGAGATTTAAGGGATGTGTATGGCCTTTTTCACCAAAAGAGGGCGCCAAAACTCTGGTTATTTTTTCCTGTGTGCAGTGACCAGCAAACCACCAGGGGGCGCATCAAGAGCACTTAATCAGGGGTGCTCAATTCTGTTCCTGAAGATCTACCACCCTGGAGAGTTCGGATCCAACACACCTGGCTCTAATATTCAGATGCCCCTGAAGGCCTTGATTACCTGGATAAGGTGTGCTAGATTAGTGTTGGAGCTAAACTCTGCAGGGTGGTAGATCTTCAGGACCATAATTGGGCACCCCTGCGCTTAGGCTTGGTTCAGGCTTGGTTCTGGAGATCTGCCACCCTGCAGGGTTTATCTTCAGTTCTAATCTAACACACCTGGTCCAGGTAATCAAGGCCTTCAGAAACATCTGAATGTTAGAGCCATGTGTTGGATTTGAGCTCTCCAGGGTGGATCAGGATTGAACACCCATGTGTTAAAGCAACGGTCAGAGTTAACCTGTAGCTAACATGTTGACCCCCAAACCCCCCCCCCGGCATCCCTGTCCTCAGTTTAACATTAATACATCTAATCTATCCATTAATTGAAACTACTTAGCGTAGCCCACTACTGCTACCTCCACATTTATAATCATGGTGTGATGATATATGTATTATGCACTTTGACCAAAATTTATTCATTTACATACAGTCTTGTGCAAATTTTTGGCACCCCTGGTCAAATTACATTTTTGATTTACATGTTTTACATTGATTTACATAAATTACAGTTTTGTCGATTTTGTTCAAAAACGTGGACTGCACAAAAGTTATGGAACATTTAATATTTTTCTAATTTCCAATTTTATTTTTTTCCAGATATGTTGTCGTAAAATCTATCTATCTGTCCGTCCGTCCGTCCATCCGTTGGTGAAAGCTGACTCTCTCTTTTCTATCTCCAGGAATTGTATAACTCTATAACCAGAATAAAATCAATATGCACCCATAATGTTTATTGGCCCAGAGTAATGCAGCTGCAATTTGGCCCAGAACATTTGTCCCAAAGTGTCATTATGTAGTAGAGTCAGCTATCGTAATGGTCACTGTGACACCACGAAAGAGTTTAAAGCCTTAAAAATATATCGCTTTACTGCTCGTCCGATGTATTAGATTAGATGTGCAGAGCGAGACAGTGATTTGAGCGAACATGGCTTTGGTCAACATGTCTCTGATTACAATTCACTTCAATTCAATCATATGAGGTGTTATAGATTTTAAATCTTTGTACTTGTGTATGTTATATTACATATAAATAGCTGTTACATACATAACACGTCACAGTGTTTTCTGCATACTCGTCTGACTGTGTCGTGTTGTCAGGAGTCGTATGTAGCAGCTACGCGGCGGTGTTGATGTGACATCATGGCGCTGTTCGTGTTTAGAATGCTACATTTACTGTAATAAAGTTCAGACTTGGGTTGCCCTCAGCCCCGTCCAAACACTGGAACCTAATAATAAGGCCTTGTGTTTTTGTTGTTGTTTTGTCCTCATACAGACGTTATTGTGCTCTATCTGTGCTGACTCGATTCGTGGAAATTCATGGAAGGGAATACATCAGCCTTCATGGCCTGGTCTCTGACGTCACTTTATTCAGAAGCTGTGGTTGTTTGAGTCTTTCACACACAGAGAGAGAGAATACCACCAGGCCTTTACAACACGGTCTTCCTCCCCAGAGTCCTGGCCGTAACCATATCTGTATGAACGTGTGTAATTTACCTTTGAGGTGACATAGAAAAACACGTATAAGTACTATTTTTGTACATAAGGGGTTCATCCAAGGACAATAACAGTCATTTAGGTCTTAACTTTGCACAACAAGAAAACTTTTGCTTCGTGCCGTCCGGCCTACATGGGGAATGCGCTGCTGTCTTTAGAACGCGGCCTGATTCGCTGCACTTTTTTTTAATTATTTTGGCCCGATGATTCACTCAAAGTGTACAAAATTCAAAATAGGCAGCCAAAAACACAGCGTCACTGAGGGAGGCTCATGCTTGAGTAGTTTTGAGGGTTTTTATGCTGAATTCGCAGAAGGCAAGTGCTAATGTCATAGCCTGATTTGCCAGTCATCTGAAAACAAACTTGTTATGTGAAGAGAAGCATTCACACAAGACAGTCCGCCATAAACTCTGCACATCCTACACACGGCCTTTGTGGATTTTTGTAGTTCCAGTTGTGGTAATTTCTATTTTGAGGATGTAATAATCAATAAATGCACTTTTACCTTCCAACACAGCAGTTCTCAAACTTTGTGGGTTCCCTTTTGTGGTTGGTGAGTGCCTTTACGACCTCCGCTTACATCGCCTTGTTCCCCCATCCCATGGTCATGACTTTCACTTGAAGGGGAATTCCACCATTTTTTAAAATTTTCCACATAATTCAGTGGTTGCGATGTAAATAAAGTCGTTCAGAGTGGTTTGATGTGAAATGGTTCATTGTAGGGAAACTTACCGACTCAGATTTCTTTACAGTGGTGGTGATAGGAACCAGAGGTCACGATGTCTACAACACCAATATAGCCTTTTTATGTAAAATCCAAAACCACTGCATGTACCCCTCCACCATTAATGGCTTTTAACAAATACATTTTAACAAAAACTTTGTCTCAAAACTATAATAAAACAATGTTTCAGGCGTCTGGCAGTGTATTAATGTAATAACTTGTTATGAGGTGGATATTAGAGGAATTAAACTCTTCAGATGTCTGGATCACCACCACTCTTCCTCTAGAGCAGAGCATTTCACATCAAACCACTCTGAAAGACTTCGTTTACATATTAACCATTGAATTATGCAGAATAAAATAGGTGGAATTCCCCTTTTATGGAGTGACAGCCGTGTCTTCCTGGAACTTAATTCATTTTGCTTGCCTGCTCTGCAGCTATAGCTAATCTGCACGTTCATCCCTGTTCCATGAGGTAACCCGGGAGGTGACTGTCAAGTGTTACTGTAATGTACTCCATTTTAATTTTGTTTAATAAAAGCAGATTTAATATGCTTTTGGGTTTTTTTGTGGGCCCCCTTGGCACTCCCCTTTAGCCCCCCAGGGGTCCACAGCCCCAGTCTGAAAACTGCTGTTCTAATACATGCCCTGTTATTTAAATTTGTTTTTGGTTTTTGTTTTTATTTATTTTTAAAATATACATTTATTTATTCACTTTTGTTATTGAGGTATCCAAAGAAAACATGAAGGTGCCTCCAGTATCATTTCACTTTTCAAAGGTTCATGATTAAATTGTGGCAGTTTATCACACACAAATAAAAGCATTACATCAACATGATTTCAGTGTTTAACTTGCTTTGTCAAAATGTATGTTGATGTAACACGTTCTATTCATTTGCAACCACTTGTCATGTTTTAATCAGGGAAATTCAAAGTGCCATTTTTTCAATGTTTCAATGGTTCCTCAAAGAACCTCAGCAAAAAAAAAAAAAAAGGTTCCTGGAGGCACTTTTTAAGGGTTCTTCTGGTACAGTAATCTGAATAAGCTCTAAATGATCTATGAACCTTTTGGAGAGCAATTAAAAGTATTTAGTACTGAGCAAATCTGAACCCTCAAATTTGAAAAAATGATCATATCATGAACTTAAAAAACCTAAAAAAAATCTAACTTAAAATCCGTGTGTATGGATTTGTGTGTATGGATCCAAATGCAGTGTAGAGTCACATCAAAATAAAGTAAAACAACAGCTCAGAGGAACAAAAGCACTGTTCCTCATTCCAGACCTCACAAAAACAGGCTAAATGTGTTTGAAGGGTAGTAAATACATAAGACACAGGAGATAGAAGATTCCCACAAATAACAGTGTCCCAAGTGTTGAAATGATGAGGCACTTTTCTACAGGCACGGAAAACAACTTTTACTTTTAAGACCAGAAGACAGTAATGACGGAAACACATATGGCAGCATTTGAACCCAGTGCTCCATGTCTGGTGTTTATAAGAAGAAAGCTGTCTTTGGTGCTGTAATAGGTGAGTTATTAAAAGTGTGATTACTCATATCTGAG